TGCAAAGCAGTGATAATGTGTGAGTGTGGGGAAAAATGTTAATTTAATGAAAGTATTTTCTTTTTTGGGGGGTTTCTTTTTTTTTTGGGGGCCCCCGCCTCGGGTTTGGGAGATGGGCCCACTTGTTGAAAAAAAAAATATAAATTTAAAATATAGGGTTTGGGAGACAGCAACCCACCCAAAGGGAAATACTAAACCCCCTGCCAGATTTACTGTGAAACAAAAACCTGTAAACTGGTTTTTTCATATGGAGGATTTCTGGGTTTCCCTTTTCCCGTCCCCATAAACACCTAATTAAAATTGGATATCTTGCTACTCCTACTTTCCCCTTTTTCACACTTCACAGAAAAAGCACATGCATATATATATATACAAAACATCTAGGTTTTTTTTTTCCTTATTCTAAATAGCCTTGGGCTTTTTTATTTCTTCTATTGTCCCTGGGGGAATGGAAAAAAAATTTTTTCCCCCCCGTAAACCATGCGTGTCGTATGAGGGGGGACTAAAAAGCCCGGGGGCAATGGCCCAGTAAACCCCTTCTCCCCCGTAAACATTTTCCAAAAAAAAAGAAAAGAAAAACTTTATAAAAAATGGGGTTTTTTAAAAAGTGCCCGGGGTGTAGTGCGGATGACAAAGAAACAATATTGCTGATTTTTAAAGAATGAAAAAAGTTTGGGTGTCCTGGGTCCCAAAACGAAACAAAGCTGAAGGGGGTTTGGGGTTTTTTGGGGGGGGGGAAAAAATTTGGGTTAAAACTGGGGTATCTGAGAGAGGGTTTAAAACAAAGGAAGGGGGACAGTAATTTTTAAAATGACATTATGGGGAAAGGGGAAAAGAGAATATAATTGTAAAATTTTGAGAATTTTGTGGGTTTAAAATAAAGGTTTTGGAAAGCGAGAATGGGGCATAATAACGTTATGCACCTGGAGAAGAAAGGGAAAGCAGAGGAAGGAGAAATTTTTTGGGGGATTTAAGTGAATGATAGGACCTTTGAACCAAGTGGGGAGAGTAAAATTTTGGTAGGGGGCCTGAATGTAAAGTAGGAGAAAATTTTTAAAAAGGGGGTGGTAGGTAAGTTTGGGGGGCCAGGTGTAAATGAAAAATGGGGGCCCCTTTTAATTTAACCCTTTTAAAAGAAAAAGGGGGGAAGTTTTTAGGTAATACAAAATTTTTAAAAAAAAGGGGGATAAAAAAGTTTTACACAATGATGTAGGGCGAAATGACAGTAGTTTGTTTGGGTTTTTTATTAGTAATAAAAGACTGTTAGGAGAATTTAGGGTTACAAGGGGGATCCCAGGGGCCCCAAATATATCAGATCCCCTTTTTATTGTAGCTACACTGAGAGTAAAAGGTAGATGGGATACAAGGAGAATAAAGCATCAGGGAAAAAAGAGGTGAAGGTTTTTAAAAAAAAAAGAGGGGGCAGTTAGGGTAAAATATAAAAGCATTGGAGGATAGGGTGGGGTAAAGAGAGCATAGGCCAAAGGGTCGAAAAGGGAAAGGGGGAGGTTTTAAAAAAGTAGTGTTAGAGTGTTCAGCAAAAGTTTGTGGTAAAAGGGGAAAATGGGTGCAGGAAGGGGAAAAGAGCAAAATTTGGGGGAATGATGATGAAAGAGAGTAAATAAGGGAAAAAAGTTACATTGAGAAGTTTTTTTCCAAGTAGAAAGTGGGTGCAAGGGGGGGAAGGGGTAAAATGGGGAAAAAAAAGAGAGGTTTAAAAAAGTGGTTAAAACAAAAGTAAAAAGAGAGCAAAGAGAAGTGGGTTTAGCTGTTTTTCAACAAATTTTGTTGAAAAAAAAAAAAAGTTTTGGGGTGAGATTTCAAAATTAAGGAAGCCTAGAGAACAAAAGGATTTGTCCAAATTAAAAAAAAAGGGGGAAGTTATTAAATGGAGAGTTAAAAGGGATTGGAAGATGGGGGGAAAAATTTGAGGAATTGTTAAATTTTTTTGAAGATAGGGAAACTGTGGGTTTCGGTAAAAGGGCAAGGAGGGAAAAAAATCTTGGTTTGGAGTGAGGGAAAAGCCAGTTTTTGAGTGTGGGGGAAGTTTTGGACAAAAAGGTAAAAAAGAAAGGGGGGAAGGCACCGGGATTGATTTGGGAAAAAATAGAAATTTTTAAAAGCAGGTGGGGGTATAGTTTTTTTGGGGTGGTTGGTGCAAATTAAATTTAAAAATTATGGAAGAGGGGAAGGGAAACCCAGGGGTTGGGAGAGAGCATGCATAGTTCCTTTTTATAAAAGGCAAAGGGGAAAAAAAGAAAAGTGCAAAAATTTTTAAAGGGGGTAAGCTGTTGAGTGTACCGGGAAAATTTTATGGGAAGTTAAAATTGAAAGAATTTTGAGTAAGACGGAGAATAGGAAAACAGATAACCCCAAGGGGGCTTTTTGAAAAGGGAGGGGGGGTGGGGGACCAGGGGGTTTTCAGTGAAACATATAAATTAACAGTATTTAGATAAGGGTAAAGAGGGCTTTGGGCTTTTTGGATTTGGGAAAAGGGGTATGAAAAGGGTGGATAGGGGGGAATGTGGGAGAAGTTTTCAATTAAAAGGTGTAGGAGTAAAGGTTTTCTGAAAAACATGAAGATTTTTACGAGGAAAAGTGAGGCTCAAGTTTTGAGTATGTAAAAAAAGGGAAAATTTTTTTCCCCGTAAAAAATAGGGCCCTTTAAAAAGATGTGTATGTCCCCCGTGGTTTTTTTAAAATATTTTAGATGGGGTTGTAAGAGAAGTAAATGGGGAAAGGGTCTTGGCAAGAGGCCCTTTGCTCTCTTTTTAAAATTGCCCCTTTAACCCCTTTTCTAACTCTCTCTTTTTTTCCAAATACCTTTTTCCCCCCTTGCTCACTTCTACTTTTTAAAAAAAATTCCATATGCTAAAATTTTTTCTCCCTTTCTAAATCTCTTTACATCATCATTCCACCAATCGCCCTCTTTCCCCTCCTGCACCCACTTTCCTGTAACCACAAAAATTTTTGCTGAACACTTTTAACACTACAATTTTTTTAAAACCCAAACCCCCCACCTTGACCCCATTGCCTATGCTCTCATAGCCCATCTATCCTCCAATAGCTTTTTTTAAAATCCTTTCCTAACTGCCCCCTCTTTTATTTTTTAAACCTTCCCCCTCTCTCTTCCCCGAAGCTTCTATTCTCCTGTATCCCATCTACCTTTTAAATCCCCCGTTGGGAAAAACTAAAAAACTAGAAAGTGATCTGATATAACTGGGGCCCCCCTATAAACAAATTTCATCCTGAAGTCAAATCAACGTCTTTATCTACCAATACATAATCCAACAAAAATACTTCCCTTTCGGGCCCAAAACATATCGTGTATACTTGGGAATGGAAAGGTGGGGAAAAAAATTAGGGGGAAAAAATTTGAATGATGGAAAAAGGGAAAAAAAAAAAAGGGGAAAAATGGGTGCACTTAGGGGTCTGTGGAGACAAGAACTTTTTCCTTGGAGGAAAGAGGGAATGTATAATATAGTTTTACCAACGCCTTATATGGGGGTTTAAGCATGGTGTGAATTTGCACGAGGAAAGGGTGGAGGCAGTGGAATGTCATGTCTGAGGGAATGTGGGTGTGAATAAATGCAGAGAATCGTAGTTTTGGGAAATTAGGAGGAGGGCGGGGTTACCAAAAATGTTGTCCAAGGGGTGAGGAAGGGTTTGGGGGTTTCGGAATTTAGGAAAGGGGGAAACAAAAATTAAGTTTCAGTTTTAAGGGGAAAGGGGGGGGGGGGGTGGAGGGGGTGGGGGAAAGGGGAAAAGGGGTTTTTTTTTCGAGGGTCTTACTCCCGCGGAGCGTGGGTGTTTTGATAGGAGGAAATGGCTTTTTTTTTAAAATTGAGTGTGTTAAAAAATTTTAAAAGGGCAAAGGGGGGATTAGGGAAAGGAGGGACAGTCCTGAGGGGGTAATGTGCCCGGGGGGGGGGCGTTTAAAACTGTAGTGAAGCACCCTTCTGGCTAGACAGTGATGGAGCGAATGATGGTGAAAGTTTTTCTTTTTCGGGCCACCCTGCCTTGGTGGGAATCGGCCAGTGTGATAATAAAAAAAAATATATGTATATATACACACACAAACACACACACACACACACACACACACACACACACACACGTGTGCATGCCTGTGTAGTGTAACCTAAGTGTAAGCAGAAGTAGCAAGATATACCTGTTATCCAGCGTGTTTATGAGACAGGAAAAAAGACACCAGCAATCCCACCATTATGTAAAACCGCTGCAGGTTTCTGTTTCACAGTCACCTGGCAGGACGGTAGTACCTCCATGGGTGGTTGCTGTCTACCAGCCTACTACCATCATCTTATATATAGACATATAATAAGAGTAATTCTAATGAACAAAACAGTATATAATAAATGTTGAGTTCTTTTGAACCCCTTCTTCAGAGTGTAGGCACTGTACGTCCTGGAGATGGGAAGTACAGTGCCTGCACTCTGAAGGAGGTGTGTTAATGTTGCAGTTTAAAAACTGTAGTATAAAGCACCCTTCTGGCAAGACAGTGATGGAGTGAATGATGGTGAAAGTTTTTCTTTTTCGGGCCACCCTGCCTTGGTGGGAATCGGCCAGTGTGATAATAAATAAAAATATATTCTTTTGAACTGTAAAAGGGAAGGAGGATAGGCAATCGCATCTGGCATTGCTGCTCACCATAATGCTCGCTGGCTTATTTTCGCTCACAAGCAAGATATAACATGCTGACTAAATTCAAGGACGGGGCCTCTGTTAATTAAACAGGAACTACATGTACTGTAGTCTTACGTCATGGGAAGGAAGGAAGGAAAAAAAAATTCAAATTGACATGAAGGAACTGACCAATTAATGAGGAAAAATCTTATGAAAGAACATACAAGAAATTGAAACAAGTTTCTCATTCCTCAGATCAAACCTGATAACCTCCATTCCACTGCCAATGTGTGACCCCTAATGATTTAATGCTTCTCCATGAATACAACAATAATAATAATGTATACATTTCTCACTTAATTTTCAGTAGGGTTTCCAGTCTCTTCTCATTCCTTGTTAACGATTCCCTCTTCTTCCTAATTTTTTCCACAATCTGCAAAATAGGAATTTAGGTATGCTGAAAATGGTATATAATACTGATAAGTTGATAATTAACCTTTTCACTGTCCATCACATAGAACTACATCACTGAGGCCATGGTCCCTGACATAGTTCTACGTCAGGAGCTCAGCTCACTCAGATAAGCAGCAAGTGGTAAATTTTGGCTTAGAAATGAATGTGAATGTGCAATGAGTGTGCACAGTATAAAAAAAAAATATCCTGCCCAATGCAGTGCATGATATAAAAGCAAAACTGACAGTGTATGATTTAAAATAGCAACTTGGAGATATGTTCTTGGAGGGTTTTTATGGATTCACTGGCTGTTTATTGGTATCATATGATATGATGGAAGACATACTACTGAAAGAGAGGTGATTTTGGTTGGTTTCATGACAAAGTACGGGTACCATCCGACTTACGACCAAGCTTGGTTCTGACCAACTGGTCGTACGTCAAAATGGACGTAAGTTGAGCCTTTTTAAAAATTGCTGACATACTGGATAGGGCATAATGTCAAACCTTTCCTATATAAACCACCTACATAGTACTGTAATGTAAGGTACAATCATTATTTCATTCTTTTTACCATAATTTACTTTTATTGATATATTTTAATTATTTATGTACTGTATAATATGTATACATGGTAGTGAACTGTATTGTAAATTTTACATCTCATACAGTATCATATGTTACTGTTATCTTTAAGTATTGTCGACACAGTGGAATGGGAGAATACCACTGGTAGTGTCATCCTGCCAGACTGTCCTATAACCTATACCCTAAGTAAAGAGAAACAACTCTGGAACATGTGTAATATGTATCCGGCTGGCTGGCTGGCCGGGTGGGTGGGTGGCTGACTGAATGTGGCTCTCTCTCTATCTGTATCTCCCTCCCTCTCTCTCTCTCTCTCTCTCTCTCTCTCTCTCTCTCTCACACAGGTACACATAAGTTATCATACATAGCATAAATTACCAAGGATAACCCAAAAAATCCAGACAGTGCTATACAGTGGATCTGTGCTCCAGTGACCTAATAATAATAATAATAATAATTATTATTGCAATAATACGTATGTACAAATATTAATAATAATTTTTTTTCAACAAGTCGGCAATCTCCCACTGAGGCAGGGTGACCGAAAAAGAAAGAAAATCCCCAAAAAGAAAATACTTCCATCATCATTCAACATTTTCACCTCACTCACACATAATCAGTTTTTACAGAGGTGCCCAGAATACAACAGTTAAAAGTGTATAAGTATAAAAATACACAATATATCCCTCCAAAATGCCAATATCCCAGACCCATCCTTTAGAGTGCAGGCATTGTACTTCCTATTTCCAGGACTCAAGTCCGGTCATATAAAATAACCGGTTTCCCTGAATCCCTTCACTAAATATTACCCTGCTCACACTCCAACAGCTCGTCAGGTCCCAAATACCATTCGTCTCCATTCACTCCTATCTAACACACTCACGCACGCTTGCTGGAAATCCAAACCCCTCGCCCACAACACCTCCTTTACCCCCTCCGTCCAACCTTTTCGAGGATGACCCCTACCCCGCCTTCCTTCCCCTACAGATTTATGCACTCTCCATGTCATTCTACTTTGGTCCATTCTCTCTAAATGACCAAACCAACTTAACAAACCCTCTTCATCCCTCTGACTAATATAATTTATTAACTCCACACCTCCTAATTTCCACACTCCAAATTTTCTGCATAATATTTACACCACACATTGCCCTTAGACAGGACATCTCCACTGCCTCCAACCGCCTCCTCGCTGCAGCATTTACAACCCAAACTTCACACCCATATAAGAGTGTTGGCATTATTATACTTTCATACATTCCCTTCTTTTCCTCCATAGTTAATATTTTTTGCCTCCACATATATCTCAATGCACCACTCACCTTTTTTCCTTCATCAATTCTACGATTAACTTCATCCTTCATAAATCCATCCGCTGACACGTCAACTCCCAAATATCTGAAAATATTCACTTCTTCCATACTCCTCCTCCCCAATTTGATATCCAATTTTTCTTTATCTAAATCATTTGATATCCTCATCACCTTACTCTTTTCTATGTTCACTTTCAACTTTCTACCTTTACACACACTCCCAAATTCGTCCACTAACCTTCGTAATTTTTCTTTAGAACCTCCCATAAGCAGAGTATCATCAGCAAAAAGTAACTGTGTCACTTCCCATTTTGTATTTAATTCTCCATAATTTTATCCCACCCCTCTCCCAAACACCATAGCATTTACTTCTTTTACAACCTCATCTATAAATATATTAAACAACCATGGTGACATTACACATCCCTGTCTAAGACCTACTTTTACCGGGAAGTAGTCTCCCTCTCTTCTACACACCCTAACCTGAGCCTCACTATCCTCATAAAAATTCTTTACAGCATTTAGTAACTTACCACCTATTCCATATACTTGCAACATCTGCCACATTGTTCTCCTATCCACTCTATCATATGCCTTTTCTAAATCCATAAATGCAATAAAACTTCCCTACCTTTATCTAAATACTGTTCACATAACTCAAGAAATCGTAATGACCAGGAGTTTTGAGACTATGACCGCGGGTTCAATCCCGGCCGGGGGTATGGTTGACTGTTCACATATATGCTTCAATGTAAACACTTGATCTACACATCCCCTACCCACTAAAACCTCCTTGCTCATCTGCAAATCTACATTCTGTCTTACTTCTAATTCTTTCAATAATAACCCTACCATACACTTTTCCTGGTATACATACTCAGTAAACTTATTCTATAATTTTTACAATCTCTTTTGCCCCCCTTCCCTTTATATAAAGGGACTATACACACTCCTAGGTAGTAGGTTGGTAGACAGCAACCGCCCAGGGAGGTACTACCGTCCTGCCAAGTGAGTGTAAAACGAAAGCCTGTAATTGTTTTACATGATGGGAAGATTGCTGGTGTCTTTTTTCTGTCTCATAAACATGCAAGATTTCAGGTACATCTTGCTACTTCTACTTACACTTAGGTCACACTATACATACATGTACAAGCATATACATATATACACACCCCTCTGGGTTTTCTTCTATTTTTTCTCTAGTTCTTGTTCTTGTTTATTTCCTCTTATCTCCATGGGGAAGTGGAACAGAATTCTTCCTCCGTAAGCCATGTGTGTTGTAAGAGGCGACTAAAATGCCAGGAGCAAGGGGCTAGTAACCCCTTCTCCTGTATATATTACTAAATGTAGAAGGAGAAACTTTCGTTTTTCCTTTTGGGCCACCCTGCCTCGGTGGGATACGGCCGGTGTGTTGAAAGAAAGAAAGACTATACACGCTCTCTGCCAATCCCTAGGTACCTTCCCCTCTTTCATACATTTATTAAACAAAAATACCAACCACTCCAATACTATGTCCCCCCTGGTTTTAACATTTCTGTCATGATCCCGTCAGTTCCAGCTACTTTACCCCCTTTCATTCTATGTAATGCCTCACGCATCTCCCCCACACTCACATCCTGCCCTTCTTCACTCCTTAAAGATGGTATACCTCCCAGGCCAGTGCATGAAATTACCGCCTCCCTTTCTTCGTCGGCATTTAAAAGTTCTTCAAAATATTCTCGCCATCTACCCAATACCTCCATCTCCCCATCTACTAACTCCCCTACTCTGCTTTTAACTGACAAATCCATTCGTTCCCGAGGCTTTCTTAACTTGTTTAACTCACTCCAAAATTTTTTCTTATTTTCATTAAAATTTTTTGACAGTGCCTCTCCCGCTCTATTATCCACTCTCCTTTTGCACTCTCTCACTACTCTCTTCACCTTTCTTTTACTCTCCATATACTCTATTCTTCTTATAACACTTCTTCTTTGTAAATACCTCTCATAAGCTAACTTTTTCTCTTTTATCACACCCTTTACTTCATCATTCCACCAATCACTCCTCTTTCCTCCTGCACCCACCCTCCTATAACCACAAACTTCTGCCCCACATTCTAATACTGCATTTTTAAAACTATTCCAACCCTCTTCAACCCCTCCCTTAGTTTATACACTTTCACCTCCTTCTTACTTGTTGCCATTTTCCTCTTATCCCATCTACCTCTTACTCTAACTGTAGGTACAACTAGATAATGATCTGATATAACAGTTACCCCTCAATAAATGTGTACATCCTGGAGCCTACCCATCAACCTTTTATCCACCAATACATAATCTAACAAACTACTTTCATTAGGTGCTATATCATACCTTGTATATTTATATATCCTCTTTTTCATAAAATATTTATTACTTATTACCAAACCTCTTTCTACACATAGCTCAATTAAAGGCTCCCCATTTTCATTTATCCCTGGCACCCCAAATTTACCTACTACTCCCTCCACAACATTTTTACCCATTTCAGCATTAAAATCCCCAACCACAAGTACTCTCACACTTGGTTCAAAACTCCCCACGCATTCACTCAACATTTCCCAAAAAATCTCTCTCTGGGGATGTGACTAATGAACACAGGAAATGTTTCAGTGCCAGGAATGTCTACATTGTTTATTATGGACTCTAATTTATTTACCAAATTGGTATTTACCAAATACCAATTTGGTAAATACCAATTTGCCAAATCTGGTAAATATCAAATTTCATATTTATCAAACTTGTTATTTACCAAATTGGTATTTACTAATTTTAAATTGGTATTTACCAACTTCTGTGCATTTTATAGGGTAGTTCAAACAGTTAAATGGGGGTTTCTTGTGCTTAATATAGTGAAAGGCATACTAGCAAAATGGCTAAGGATATGGTGAAATGGAGCAATGGAAATGGCTTAAAATAAGACACAGTTGACAAAATTGCAGATGCATAAATTGCACCAAGAATACTAACTTTGTGCCTGAATAATTTTGTACATTTTTCATCAAACTTATTCTTGAAACATTTTGCCTACACAGTAGGCTTCTTCAGTCAAATACAGAGAGAAT